ACACAGACATACAGATACACACACAGACATACAGATCCACACAGACATACAGATATACACAGACATACAAATACACAGACAGACATACAGATACACAGACAGACATACAGATACACACACAGACATACAAATACACACAGACATACAGACACACACACAGACATACAGACACACACACAGACATACAAATACACAGACAGACATACAAATACACACACAGACATACAAACAGCCGGCCCTTTAATCCCAGCACATGGGGGCAGAGGCAGGCAGATCGCTGTGAGTTCTAGGCCATTCTTGGCTATATCTTAAGACTCCTTCTTTAAAAAAAAAAAAAAATAGTTATATACAGCTGGGAATAGTGGCGCACACCTTTGATCCCGCACTCAGGAGGCAGAGGCAAGTGGATCTCTGGGGTCCAGGCCAGCCTGGTCTATAAAGTGAGTTCCGGGACAGTCAGAGCTACATAGTATGACCCGGTCTCAAAAACACACCATAAACAAATAAAAAAATTGTGTGTGGTATTGCTAATACATGGTTTGCTTTGAAGGCTGGGATTTCATTCTGTACCGCTGTCGTGAGGTGAAACATGTCAGTGCCCAGTCATGCCAGGCAGCTGGGTGATATGCAAAGCCTTGATCCCAGCTACTCTGGATGAGTCCAGGGCCAGCCTGGGCTACACAGCAAAACCCCACCTCAAAAAAAGTGTTTTTCTGCCTGGTGTGGTGTCATACTCCTGTAACCCTAGCCCTGGGAAGGCAGAGGAAGGTGGCTGGAGTGTACCTCCTAGCCAGGCGTGGTGGCACGTGCTTGAGACCCCCAGCTGTGGAGGCTGAAGCAGAAGAGAGAGATCATAGGCCAGCCTGGGCTACATAGCGAGACCCAAGACCCTGCCTCAAACAAACAGACAAAAAGGTCTTTCTTGGGGCTGGAGAGATGGCTCAGAGGTTAAGAGCACTGGCTGCTCTTCCAGAGGTCCTGAGTTCAATTCCCAGCAACCACATGGTGGCTCACAACCATCTGTAATGAGATCTGGTGCCCTCTCCTGGTCTGCAGGCACATATGCAGACAGAATGCTGTATACATAATAAATAAATAAATAAATTTTTTAAAAAAAGTCTTTATGTTCCTTTTTCCCATTTCTTTTTTTAAATATATATTTTTAAACATTTACTTATTTAATATGGTGGTCAGAGAACAACTTGAAAGAGTTCTCCTTCCTCCATGGGGCCCTGAGAAACTTACTGGCTGTCAGCCTTGGCAGGGGGCCCTGAACCCCCAAAGCCATAT